GAACAACACTAAGGACCTCACAGTAATTAAGAAGATAAGGGACTACTATGAACAACTTTATGCCATTAATTTAGACAACTTAGATAAAATGAAAGATTTTCAAGAAAGATACAAGTTATTAAAACCAACTCAAAAAGAAATAGAAAATCTGTATAGGCTTATAACAACAAAAGACATTGAATTAATCATTAAGAATATTTCCACAAAGAAAGCCCAGACCTAGATGGATTAATTGGTGAATTCTAACAAATATTTGAGGAAGAAATAATACCAAACCAATCCTTCATAAACTCTTCCAGAAAATGGAGGAAGAGGGAACACTTCTCAATTCATTTTATGAGGCCAATATTCCCCCGATACCAAAGTCAGACAAAGACATCACAAGAAAAGAAAATTCCTCATAAATATAGATCCAAAAATCCCAACAAAATAGTTACAGACTGAATCCAGTAATATATAAGAAGTATTACAATACAATGGCCAAGGGGGATATATACCAGGAATGCAAGACTAATTTAATATCAAAAATCCAACTAATGTAAAATATCATATTAATGGAAGACCAAAAACACAGTATCATCTCAATAGGTGCAAAAAAAGAGGCATTTGGCAAAATCCAACACTTACTCCTGATAAATATTCTCAACAACTATGAATAGAAGGGAAATTCTTCAATCTGATAAATAGTACCTGAGAAAAACCTACATATTTAATGATGTAATACTGAATGCTTAATGGTAAAACGTCATACTTAATAGTGAAATATTTAATGTTTTCCCCCTAAGACTGTGAACAAGCAGGAATGTGTATTCTTGCCACTTACATTCAACATTTGTGTTAGAGGTTCTAGCCAGTGTAGTCAGGCAAGGAAAGAAATAAAAAGTATCTAAATTGGATAGAAAGAAGTAAAACAGTCTTTATTCTCAGACAACATATCCTGTATATAGAGAACCCTAAACAACTCACACACATGGGGTGAAAAAACACAAAATCTACAAAACACGTTTAGCAAGTCTGGAGGATAAAAGATCAATATATAAAATCAATCATATTTCTAAATACCAGCAATGCACAATACATAAATGAAATTAAGAAAATAATTCCATTAATAATTGCATGAAAAAGAAAAAATATTTAAGATTAAATTTCACAAAAAAAGTGCAAAATTTGTACACTAAACTACAAAACACTGCTGAAATTAAAAATTGAATAAATGGGGAGATAATGTATGTTCGTGGACATACTCAGTATTCTTAAGATGGCAATTCTCCGCAAAATGATCTATAGATTCAATGCTATCTCTATTAAAATTCCAGCAGGCTTTGCTGAGGAAATTAAAAAGCTGTGTGGAAATGCAAGCACCTAGGATAGCCAAAACAATTTTATTTTATTATTTTTTAAAGATTTTATTTATTTATTCGAGACAGAGAGACTGTGAGCACACAAGCTGGGGGGAGAGGCAGAGGGAGAGGGAGAAGCAGGCTCCCTGCTGAGCAAGGAGGCTGATGCAGGGCTCTATCCCAAGACCCTGGGATTGGGGCCTGAGGTGGAGGCAGCCGCTTAACTGACTGAGCCACCCAGTTACCCCAGCCAAAACAATTTTTAAAAAATAACAAAGTTGGAGGATTTATACTTCCCATTTTCAAAACTCATTACAAAGCTATTGTAATCGAGACAATGTAGTGCTAGTATAAGGACGGACATACTGCTCAGTGGAACAGAATTAGGAGTCGAGAAATAAATCCACTTTTGGTTGATTTTTGACAACAGTGTTAATAGAATACAATAGGGAAAGAATAGTCTTTTAAGTAGTGCTGGGACAACTTGATATCTACATGCAAAAGATGAATTTTTAGACTCTAGCTTCCTAACATACTCAAAATTAACTTGTAATGGATCTTATACCTAAATGTGAAAGAAAAACTATAAAACTTTTAGAATATAGAACAAAAACATTTGTGGTTTGGGGTTAGGCAAAGAGATGATACCAAAAGTATGATCTATAAAATGAAAAACTGACAAATTGAACTTTATCAAAATTCAAAACTTCTGTACTTCAAAAGATGCCATAAAAAAAGTATAAAGAGAAGTTACAGACCAGGGAAAATATGTGCACATCATATATTTGATGAAGACCTCGTATTCAGAATATATTTAAAACTTTTATAACTCAGTAATAAAGTAACTCAATTAAAAGGGCAGAAGATTTGAGTAGACATTTCACCAAAATAGATGTAAGAATGTCTGATAAGCACATGAAAAGACACTCAGCATCATTTATCATTAGGGAAGTGCTAATTAAAGCCGTATTAAGATACTACTTCAAACTCACTAGAATGGTTATAATCAGGCAGACATTGACAAGTGTTTCCAAAGATGTAGAAAAACTAAAACCCTTATACATTTCTAGTGAAAATGTAAAATGGTAGAGCTACTTAGGAAAATATTTGGCAGTGGTTAAAAAATAAACATAAACTTACAATATGAATTAGCGACCCTCCTCCCCTCCTAGGTATGTTCCTAGGAGAAATAAAAGCATATATCCACACAAAGACTTATATGTGAAAGTTTATAGCAGCATTATTTATCAAAGCCCAAAAGCAGAAACAATCCAGATGTCCATTATCTGGTAAATGGAAAAGCAAAATGGGATATACAGCCATACACTGGAATACTATTCAGGAATGAGCTACTTTTACTTGCTACAATATGGATAAACTTCAAAAACATGCTAGGTGAAAGAAGTCAGATGCAAAAGACTATTATATGATCCAATTATATGAAATGTCCATAAAAGACAAATCTATAGATAGGAAACAGATTAGGGTTTGCTGAGATAGGACATGGTTACAGGGATTGATGGCAAATGGGCATGAGGCCTCTTTTTGGAGTTATGGGAATGTTCTAAAATTGGACTTCAGAGATGTTTGTTCAAGTATATAAATTTGATAACTGAATTGCAAAATGAAGAGGAAGGAAGGGAGAGTGAGAGGGTGAGAAAGGGGAAAGGAGAAAGGGAGAGAGGAGGATAGGAGGGACTGAAGGCAGGGGTACATTAATTCATTGTCAGAAAACAATAGGATCAAGTTGAATACTTCAATTTGAATTACTAAAGGACAAAAATGTATGAGAGAACAAAATGATGAATTGTTTTCAATCCTATTTATTATCTATCTTCTCTACTAGAATGTAGGCAGGGATATTTATCTGTTATTTACTCTTATATCTCTCAAAACAAACATAGTACCTTTGTACATATTAGGCAGTCAATAAGTATTTGTTGAATGAAAGTTGAAGGAAGTGAAGAAAGCCAATTAGTTTTAATACCGTTAAAAAAAAAACCTCATAGGGTAGTAAAAAAAAGTGCCTCCTTTTCTGTTAGAAGTCCCAAGTTCCTGACATAGATTTAGCGTTTACTGCTGTCTTTAGCAATTCTCTTTACCTTTTTCAATGTATTTCCTCACCTGCATAATATTTCCTTTATTAGGCTCTTCATTTAGCACTTTAAGGTCCAAATAGAAGAGTATCTTCCTATGTAAACTAAATACTATGTAAATATAGGATGACAATATTGTTGACAATTAACAAATAAACCTCCTAAGGAGGAAAATTGAAGGTTTTTGTCACCAACCAGTGGCAGAAAATATGCACTGTATGCCCTTTAAAATAGAAGAGACAAACAGTACTTTTTTTTTAGTAACAGCAGTATTGAGATATAATTTACATCTATACAATTCACCAAATTAATGTATATAATTCAATGGTTTTAAGTATATTTACACCGTTGTGCAATCATCACCACAACAAATTTTAGAACATTTTTATCACCCCCAAAGAAACCTCAGGCCCTTTGGCAGTTCCCTCGCATATCTCCCACCCCTAGCTCTGGGCAACCACTAATCTACTGTCTCTTTAGATTTACCTATTTTGGACGTTTTATATAAATATGTGTCTGGCTTTTTTCATTTAGCATAATCTTTTCAAGGTTCATCTATGTTGTAGAATGTATTCATTCCTTTTTTTGTGACCAAATAATATTCCATCATATGGCTATACCACATTTTATTTATCCATTTATCAGTTGATGGACATTTGGGTTGTTTCCACTTTTTGGCTATTATGAATAATGCTACCATGTATAAATTTTTCTGTGGACATATGTTTTCATTTCTCTTAAATATATACGTAGGAGTAGAATTGCTAGGTCATATAGGAACTCTATATTTAACTTTTTGAGGAACTGCCTGACTGTATTCCAAAGTGGCTACACCGTTTTACATTCCCACCAGGAGTGTATGAGGGTTCTGATTTCTCCACATCCCTGCCAATAGTTGTTATCCTTTTTTTTTTTTTTAAGATTTTGTTTATTTATTTGACAGAGAGAGACCCAGCCAGAGAGGGAACACAAGCAGGGGGAGTCGGAGAGGGAGAAGCAGGCCTCCTGCAGAGCAGAGAGCCTGATGCAGGGCTCGATCCCAGGACCCTGGGATCATGACCTGAGCCGAAGGCAGATGTTCAATGACTGAGCCACCCAGGCAGCACCGTTGTTCTCCTTTTTTTATCATGGGCATCCTAGTGGATGTGAAATACTATCTTATTGTGGTTTTGATTTGCTTTTCCCTGATGGCTAAGAATGTTGAGCATCTTTTCATGTGGTTTTTTTTTTTTTTTTTTTTTTTGGCCTTTTGTATTTTTTCTTTGGAGAAATGTCTCTTCAGATCCTTTGGTCAATAGTATTCTTTTAACGGATTCTTGAGTTGTCCTTAATATGAAGTGAAACAACACAGCAAATGATATCCACAGTTCCAAGAAACAGGTATGGATTCACTAAATCTACTGTACTTCACTATTTGGTCTCTTCCTATTTAGAAGATCAATTCAGTGGCCAAATATCCTAAGTGTTTTCTGGGCCAGTACCCTACAGATGGTCTAACTGAGGCTGTTCCAGGCCAACTTATTTTTTATCTCGTCAATTCAGAGGAAATAACAGCCTTACTTACCATTTCCCAGTTCCCAAGAAATGTTGTACTTTTTGCTGGCACTGTACTTCAACAGACTCAGGGCACTAGAACTGTTCCAGGAGTTATTGGGATTACGACGCAGTGCATTTAGAGCAAATATCAGGTGGAGTCCAGAGCAATCAGCAAAATTATAAAGTTTGTCTAGAGACCTGGCTGGGAAGAAGCAGAAAAAGGCTTGTAACTTTAAAATCAACATTCCAACAAAAGGAAAATATTAGCTACTATAAAAAGCCTTTCTATGAGCTGCCTGCTAATTAATTCCTGCTAGGAATTATACAGAGAGGCTTCAAAAGGATTATATTACCTCTTGGTTCAGGGTACATTTTGAAGTGATTTTAGAAAGCAGCACACAGAATTCTAGACACAGGTTGCAAATTAGCAACCAAGTCTATTCCACAGTATGTTTTATTTGTTAACAACCACAACAAAATGGAATTGCTTTGGAATTACTTTGGAAATTCACAAAGTAGTTCGATTTCTAGCTTCTCTTGAAAAATCAGATGATCTGACACTGCTGGGTCTGTATTCCTTTGTGAAATGATAGGAATAGTGTTGGGAGGCAAGGCCAAGAGAGATGACTGGCTGGTAAGTCTTGGAAAATAGCTCAGCCTAGCAGCACTTCAAAAAAAAAAATTTACTCGATTCCACATTTCTAATATTTCTGAGAATGGAAACACCATTAGTGTAAATATATTCATTGTCACTTTGATCCTTGATACCATCAACTCTACTCACCATGTGTCCCATACCCATCCCATTCCTTCACATCTATTGTCACCATTCTGGTTCTAGTTCTCATTTCCACTTGCATGAATTATCACAACAATCTCTGTGCTTGCCTGTCCAGATTCATCTTTCTTCCAATCTCTTTCATCAGTTTCACTCACCTCTCAAAACCTTAGTGGATTTTTAAAACTGTTTTCTTCCTTAGTTCAGGACTTTAAAACTCAATCATAATTTTCCCCCAGCTTCAAGCCTCTCTATTGTCGTCTATGAGTTCTTTGTTGGTGTCACCCAGTTCTATTTATTATAGAATCCCCTGCTCCATCAGCCTTTGCTCTAATTATTCTCCTCATTTGGCATGCCCTTTTCCCTCTTTTAAACATATCCAGATCTTACTTGTCCTTTTATTTTTTATTTTTATTATTATGTTATATTAATCACCACACATTATATCATTAGTTTTTGATGTAGTGTTCCATGATTCATTGTTTGCGTATAATACCCAGTGTTCCATGCAGAACGTGCCCTCTTTAATACTCATCACCAGGCTAACCCATTCCCCCACCCCTTACCTCTAGAACCCTCAGTTTGTTTTTCAGAGTCCATATTCTCTCATGGTTCGTCTCCCCCTCCGATATCCCCCCCTTCATTCTTCCCCTCCTGCTATCTTCTTCTTCTTTTTTTTTTTTTTTTAACATATAATGTATTATTTGCTTCAGAGGTACAAATCTCTGATTCAACAGTCTTGCACACTTCACAGAGCTCACCATAGCACATACCCTCCCCAATGTCTATCACCCAGCCACCCCATCCCTCCCACCCCCCACCACTCCAGCAACCCTCAGTTTGTTTCCTGAGATTAAGAATTCCTCATATCAGTGAGGTCATATGATACTTCTCTTTCTCTGACTTATTTTGCTCAGCATAACACCCTCCAGTCCCATCCACGTAATTGCAAATGGCAAGATTTCATTCTTTTTGATGGCTGCATAATATTCCATTGTGTATATATGTGTATATATATATATACCACATCTCCTTTATCCATTCATCTGTCGATGGACATCTTGGCTCTTTCCACAGTTTGGCTATTGTGGACATTGCTGCTATAAACATCGGGGTGCACGTACCCATTCAGATCCCTACATTTGTATCTTTGGGGTAAATACCCAGTAGTGCAATTGCTGGGTCATAGGGTAGCTCTATTTTCAACTTTTTGAGGAACCTCCATACTGTTTTCCAGAGTGGCTGCACCAGCTTGCATTCCCACCAACAGTGTAGGAGGGTTCCCCTTTCTCCACATCCCTGCCAACATCTGTCATTTCCTGACTTGTTAATTTTAGCCATGCTGACTGGTGTGAGGTGATATCTCATTGAGGTTTTGATTTGGATTTCCCTGATGCCAAACGATGTTGAGCACTTTTTCATGTGTCTGTTGGCTGTTGGCATGTCTTCTTTGGAAAAATGTCTGTTCATGTCTTCTGCCCATTTCTTGAGTGGATCATTTGTTCTTTGGGTGTTGAGTTTGATAAGTTCTTTATAGATTTTGGATACTAGCCCTTTATCTGATATGTCATTTGCAAATATCTTCTCCCATTCTGTCGGTTGTCTTTTGGTTTTGTTGACTGTTTCTTTTGCTGTGCAAAAGCTTTTTATCTTGATGAGGTCCCAATAGTTCATTTTTGCCCTTGCTTCCCTTGCTTTTGGTGATGGTTCTGGGAAGAAGTTGCTGCAGCTGAGGTCGAAGAGGTTGCTCCTTGTGTTCTCCTTTAGGATTTTGATGGACTCCTGTCTCACATTGAGGTCTTTCAACCATTTGGAGTCTATTTTTGTGTGTGGTGTAAGGAAATGGTCCAGTTTCATTCTTCTGCATGTGGCTGTCCAATTTTCCCAACACCATTTGTTGAAAAGACTGTCTTTTTTCCATTGGGCATTCTTTCCTGCTATGTCGAGGATTAGTTGACCATAGAGTTGAGGGTCCATTTCTGGGCTCTCTATTCTGTTCCATTGATCTATGTGTCTGTTTTTGTGCCAGTACCATACTGTCTTGATGATGACAGCTTTGCAATAGAGCTGGAAGTCCAGAATTGTGATGCCGCCAGCTTTGCTTTTCTTTTTCAACATTCCTCTGGCTATTCGGGGTCTTTTCTGGTTCCATACAAATTTTAGGATTATTTGTTCCATTTCTTTGAAAAAAGTGGATTGTATTTTGATGGGGATTGCATTGAATGTGTAGATTGCTCTAGGTAGCATTGACATCTTCACAATATTTGTTCTTCAATCCATGAGCATGGAACGTTTTTCCATTTCTTTGTGTCTTCCTCAATTTCTTTCATGAGTATTTTATAGCTTTCTGAGTACAGATTCTTTGCTTCTTTGGTTAGATTTATGCCTAGGTATCTTATGGTTTTGGGTGCAATTATAAATGGGATCGACTCCTTAATTTCTCTTTCTTCTGTCTTGTGTTTGGTGTATAGGAATGCCACTGATTTCTGTGCATTGATTTTATATCCTGACACTTTACTGAATTCCTGTATGAGTTCTAGCGTTTTGGGGTGGAGTCTTTTGGGTTTTCCACATAAAGTATCATATCGTCTGCAAAGAGTGAGAGTTTGACTTCTTCTTTGCCGATTTGGATGCCTTTGATTTCTTTTTGTTGCCTGATTGCTGTGGCTAGGACTTCTAATACTATGTTGAATAGCAGTGGTGATAGTGGACATCCCTGCCGCGTTCCTGACCTTAGGGGGAAAGCTCTCAGTTTTTGCTCATTTAGAATGATATCTGCTGTGGGTTTTTCATAGATGGCTTTTATAATATTGAGATATGTACCCTCTATGCCTATACTCTGAAGAGTTTTGATCAAGAAAGGATGCTGTACTTTGTCAAATGCTTTTTCTGCATCTATTGAGAGGATCATATGATTCTTGTTCTTTCTTTTGTTAATGTATTGTATCACGTTGATTGATTTGCGGATGTTGAACCAACCTTGCAGCCCAGGGATAAATCCCACTTGGTCGTGGTGAATAATCCTTTTAAGGTACTGTTGGATCCTACTGGCTAGTATTTTGGTAAGAATTTTTGCATCTGTGTTCATCAAGGATATTGGTCTGTAATTCTTCTCTTTGATGAGGTCTTTGTCTGGTTTGGGGATTATGGGAATGGTGGCCTCATAAAACGAGTTTGGAAGTTTTCCTTCCATTTCTATTTTTTGGAACAGTTTCAGAAGAATAGGTATTAATTCTTCTTTACATATTTGGTAGAATTCCCCTGGGAAGCCATCTGGCCCTGGGCTTTTGTTTGTTGGGAGATTTCTGATTACTGCTTCAATTTCCTTAGTGGTTATAGGTCTGTTCAGGTTTTCTGTTTCTTCCTGGTTCAGTTTTGGTGGTTGATACATCTCTAGGAATGCATCCATTTCTTCCAGATTATCTAATTTGCTGGTATATAGTTGCTCATAATATGTTCTTATAATTGTTTGTATTTCTTTGGTGTTGGTTGTGAGCTCTCCTCTTTTATTCACGATTTTGTTGATTTGGGTCCTTTCTCTTTTCTTTTTGATAAGTCTGGCCAGGGGTTTATCAAAATTGTTAATTCTTTCCAAGAACCAGCTCCTAAGTTTCGTTGATCTGTTCTACTCTTCTTTTGGTTTCTATTTCATTGATTTCTGCTCTGATCTTTATTATTTCTCTTCTCCTGCTGGGTTTAGGCTTTATTTGCTGTTCTCTTTCCAGCTCCTTTAGGTGTAGGGTTAGGTTGTGTATTTGAGACCTTTCTTGTTTCTTGAGAAAAGCTTGTATGGCTATATAATTTCCTCTTAGGACTGCCTTTGCTGTATCCCAAAGATTTTGAACAGTTGTGTTTTCATTTTCATTGGTTTCCATGAATTTTTTTAATTCTTCTTTAATTTCCTGGTTGACCTATTCATTCTTTAGTAGGATGCTCTTTAGCCTCCATGTATTTGAGTTCTTTCCGACTTTCCTCTTGTGATTGAGTTCTAGTTTCAAAGCATTGTGGTCTGAAAATAGGCAGGGAATGATCCCAAACTTTTTGTACTGGCTGAGACCTGATTTGTGACCCAGGATGTGATCTATTCTGGAGAATGTTCCATGGGCACTAGAGAAGAATGTGTATTCTGTTGCTTTGGGATGGAATGTTCTGAATATATCTGTGAAGTCCATTTGGTCCAGTGTGTCATTTAAAATCTTTATTTCCTTGTTGATCTTTTGCTTAGATGATCTGTCCATCTCAGTGAGGGGGGTGTTAAAGTCCCCCACTATTATTGTATTGTTGTCGATGTGTTTCTTTGCTTTTGTTATTAATTGCCTTATATAATTGGCTGCTCCCATGTTAGGGGCATAGATATTTACGATTGTTAGATCTTCTTGTCGGATAAATCCTTTCAGTAGGAGATAGTGTCCTTCCTCATCTCT